GGATAACCCCCCTGGATTTGCAAAATATGCCACGCCTGTTATGGTAGAACTTAAACCACAAGCATATCCAGTTAGAGTGCCTCAAAGATATTGTACTTCAGAGGCTGCTCTGGCCATTCAGGAATTAATACAAAAATACTTGATGGCAAAAATCATTAGAAAAATTCAGTCACCCTGGAATACTGCAATTCTACCTGTGTGTATTTCAATGTGTAGCCCTTTGTTCTTTAAGGAGGGTAGTATAAAAACTGAAGTCTAATCCCGCCCTCCTCATTCAGAATTGCCTATCTCTAATATGCTCTGAACCTTGCGCAAATAAACTTCTCTGCTAAACCCCTCTGGAATTCGTAAGAGTTCTTTCGTTTTCCACAAGAATGTAGTAAAATGAACAATTATTAGAATAATGATTTGTCTGCATAACTGCAATAATGATGTGTCTGCATAATTGCTAGAATAATGAGGTAATGCATAATCACTGGGAAAATTCACTGGGAAAGTTCTCTGTCAGTAATATGTGGCAACCAAATGCGCTCTGCACATGGATACTTTGTATGTAGTAAAACCTTCCATTGTATGCCTGTGAGAAACGCTCCTAATGTATCACAGTGTATTACCATGTGTAGTCCCTTTGTTCTTTAAGGAGGGTAGTATAAAAACTGAAGTCTAATCCCGCCCTCCTCATTCAGAATTGCCTATCTCTAATATGCTCTGAACTTTGCGCAAATAAACTTCTCTGCTAAACCCCTCTGGAATTCGTAAGAGTTCTTTCGTTTTCCACAAGAGTAGAGCAGCGTTAGCTTGAAGCTCAGCTGGGCATTCTCTACATGTAACTGCTCCATATTAGTAGAGGGTCACAGAAAAATTGTTCTGACCCAGCCTTCACAAGTAATGAGAAACCACTTACTCATGAGTAAAACAAACCCCTTTTATTAAAACAGGGCAGGAACAATCTTGGTTCATGTTGGTTAGATGAAATCAAAAAGAAATAGTCACAAAGGAAAGTCTTTTCCCCTTCTGACACAGGGAAAGAACAGTCTCTGTTCACTTGAGCCCTCCAGATAGAAAATCTTTCAAGAATTAAGCCAAGCAGAAACAGTCTCTGTTCACACCGGCTAAGGCAAATTCACTACCTATTAGTTCCCAGCAGGGAGACTCAGTCGGTCCCTCAAAGACAAATCAAGTAGTTCTGACAACCTTAATTTTTTCAAGATCAACTGGGTCAGTCAACCTTTTTTCCTTTCTGTTGAATTATATCCAGTTCTCCAAGATTGCCTAAACAAGTCCCTGCTGTTTACTTGACAAGGTTTTTCAGAAGTGGTTTGCCACTGCCTCCTTCTTAGAGCTCAGTAACTCAGGTCTCTCAGCTGGCTTTGTGCTCAAAGTGGGATTAGACCTCACAGTCACCTGGTTTCTAGCAGCTGCTTTAACCACTACATCAAACTGGCTCTCTTGATCTACTGACAGTAAAATGCCAAGACAGAAATTACAGTGGCATAATGAACTCTTTACAGAGCTTTTGACCTACCATCCCATCCCACCCCACTTCACTCATATTATGACACCCATTTCCTTTTGTAATGATGAATCATTGCTATTATACATGTTTTCAACATATGGTAATTTACTTCCAAACTCATGCTTCTATACAGGTGATCCTAAGCAATCCCAGTTTATTCAGTAAAGTATATTCCTCCACATCCTAGGTTTTAAATCTGTTGCTTCCTATGCAATGCCTTACTTTGCAGAGCAAGTTGGTACTCTGGATAAAATTGCTGGGAAAATAAAAATTAGAAAATCATTCCATGTAGCAGACTTGAGGGGAATGAGATAAAATTGGGAAAAGATACAATCTATTATTTTGTGGCCCTAAGGAAAATACTTCTCTAGAAAGTTCAACTGTATTCTTAGGAATTATTGCTGATCAAGATTCCTATTTTTAAAATATTTAATGTATGTTTAATTTTTGAATTCAGATTTTAACTATTTTTTTGTTGTAAAATCATTTTGTTGTCATACGAGTGTGCAGTTCAGGTTAGTGTAATGGTTAAATCTTATGCAAAATATTCTGCAAAATTCTGTGAAGAAGAAAGGATTTGGGGCAGTTAGCTAACCCTAACATTGAGTCTCATTTAAAATCCAGCTTTATAACTGCACAAGGTTTTTTTATATAACAAAAATAGATACAATTAGCCAGCTCCTAATGAAGGCTAGAACTACTTCAGAAAAAAATGGACAAAAAATTAAAAGAAAAGCCTAAGGATATGTTTTTGCTTCTAGGACCATTTTGCTCCATCTGGATTCATAATGTGAATTTCCCCAAGTTTTAAAACTGGGTTCCACAAATCACGAGGGAGCATCTAGGTAACTTTGGGATGATTTCAAATGCTAAGCAAAATCAGAATAATAGCCATTTTTATGTCCAACCTTTTTTTAAAAAAAATATTTTGACTGAAATCCTGGACTGTGGCTAGAAATATGATATATGAATATTTAAGTAATATTATTTCAAAATAAAGCAAAATGAAAAATTCTGTATTTTAACTTTTCATCAAATACTTTCCATTATTGCTACTTTCTATATTGCAGATATAGCTTCTGAGTGTTTGGTTTCCACTTAGTCTGTTTTAGGAACCCAGTTATTGAGTGTACAAACCATGGCTAAGTATGTGTGAACATAGCCAAATGTTAGAAAGTTTTGGTTAAGCAAACCATAACTTAATGGAATGTTGGAATCCAATCTTTATATTTAAATTGTGACATTTTGGGTCGCACTGGGACCCCACTATACCCTTAATTATGATTTGCTTTCCATGACTGATAATTAGTATCAGTTGAGACCAGAATACTACATCTCCCACTATAAATCATGGTTTATTCCAATGGTGGGATTCAAATTTGTGAACAACCGCTTCTCTGTGTGGATGCCACTTAGATACCGGTTCTGCCGGTATCTGGTGCGAACTGGCTGAATCCCGCCACTGGTTTATTCCCTCTTCCCCTTTTCCAAGTTCCTTTCCCCCTCAGGGGAAATAGAGAAATTAAGCATGCCCTGGAGCGAGAGGAATTCCTTCCCCCCCCCTCTAGTTTTAAATGCAACATATTAACATCTGATTTTTACTCCTTTCTAGCCCTCGCGTTTTGTTTTGCTTTAAGTTGAATTTGTGCGAGAAGAAAAAAAGCTAAAATTTATTTCAACTGCCTTGGCTTATCTCCGGGTAATTAATATCATTTACCGGCTTCTCATTGGGTAGGAGGAAGTTCATCCAACTGCATGCCAGAAGTTCCCGCCCACTAAGATTAGTGCGCGGGGAGAAAGAACGGGAATACCACTACGGAGTATAAAAGAAGCGCAATGTTCCAGGGGGCCAAATTTGGGCAAAGTTGATGTGGTGTCCAGCTATCTGATTGGTTCTCTGGAGGAGCACTGACGATAATAGCCCCCTCGTACAGGCATGAGCTCAACAGAAGAGAAAATAAAAACTTAGACAAGCCCTCCAATGACATCCCTGAGCTTCCTATCCCTATGGCTGTCCGCCGAGGAAGCTGCTAGGGAAGGAAGGATATGAGAGGGGGAGGCGGAGTTGCCGCTTCTTATTGGTCGTCTTTTTCTCTGCGGCATCCAATTGTGGGGAGGCCTGAGCGAGGTGTGTGTATGTGTGTGTGGGGGGGTGATCCCTTGGGAAGTCGCTTCCTTCTCTTCCCCGCCCCCTCCCTGCCCCCAGTCTGTCAGGTGTGGTAACGGTTGTTTTCATTCCCCCGGCTGCTGTGAGAGACGCTCTCGGCTTCCTTGGGCATGGCGGGGATTCCACGACGTCTCTCTTTGTCCCCAGGTTTCCCTGAAGGAAGGGAGTGAGAGGCATTCTTAAAGCTGTGTAGGGAAAGGGATGGAGGTGAGGGGGTGGAGGGAATGGGGGTGAGCAGCAGGGGAAGAATGGTGAACAATAGAATAGTACGCTGAGGTATGAAGCAGAAGCGGAGGGGTCAGGCAAAGGGCAGGCAAAGAGCAGGCGGGAGAATTGAAAGGGGCAGTATAATGCAGAGGAATTGAAGGGCAAGAGGAAAAATACGGAATGGGTACAAACTAGAGAATTTAGAAGAGTTTTAAAGTGGAGGCTAGCAGATTTTTAAGGATTGGAAATGTAGCTAAGGAAAATAAATGGGATGTGCAAGGGGAAACATAGGAACTTGGAAATTGACAGAAGTTGTAAAACCAACCATCACTATGAAGCAAGGGTGTGATCCTTAATTACACATCAATATAATCGTTCATTTAGCAAATGGAATGAAGTGTTTTCCAGTCACATTTTTCCACATGGGCCAACTGTTCTCAGTGGAGGAATCTAAAATGTTCCTTTGGTTTGGCTCATTTATATTTACAGTTATATGTGGGTATTTGAATAAAAATCTGGACTTTAGCTATTCAATTTGCTAACTAATCAAATCTGTGGGTTTTAAAACTCAGAAATTTTTTGACTCAGAATTCATCCAAATTGGAAATGCAGATACTCTTGTGCAATTCTTTCCAAATGTTTTGTGTATATAATTCTTTAATGTAAAAAAAAATGGAGAGCAATATTTTTAATAGGCTGATTCTCAGAAAGTCAGCACATAGAAATGTACTGACCAATTTTTTAAAGTGTAAAGCAAACAATTTAGATGTGAGTTAATTGTTTGTCTTTCTATTTTCATTGTTTTATCCCAGCCTAAATTAGCTTTCAGAGGCACCAGCCGTTATTTGAATAGTACAGAATCCAGTGGAAGACTGACGGATGTGTTCAATAACGTTATCATGACAGGTTGCAGCTCCTTCTATGATTGCTACAAATTGCAGGTTCAATCAGTTTTTTTAATAGATAATTTTACTTCAAAAACATTTTAAGAAGTAACCACATTGAAGCATTGTATGATAGTTCTACTATATTGACTTCAAAATAAACTTTGTATTTAAAATACATTATGAAATAGTTCATGAGTGAGTTCAGTATTGGAGTGATATCAGAATAATCTCATAAAATGTATGGGCAGCTCATCAGTCATATATGACACCAATACCTTGTTTTTGCAGGTTTTTTTTTAGCAAAACAATGCCATTTTTTGCAGTAAAGTGTAAATATAGAGTGTTCCACTTATTTTCAGGGAGAAATAAAAAGCAAGATTTTGTTAAGCTTAATACACAAATGCCTTTAAAAAACCTTATCTCAAAACTTTAAGCAAAGGTAATGGTTTGAATATTCCACTGTACTGTTTCTAAAGATTCATTTCAACATCCTGTGATTCTTGGTCAGTGAAAATAGATGTACAGCCCATACCCCCAAATAAGTTAATGATATTTTAATATGGTTATATTTTTTTTACTCGGCTATCCTTGCAATACTTCTGTGTCAGAAAAAAGGATTGTCTCTTTACATAGTCTCTTGTGAGATTCAGAAATAAAGGGAAGAATGGATCAAAGGACATATCTTTAATTTGCTTTTTTAATTATATATTTTTTTCTGTGTGGTTATTCTAAAAAAACTAAATGAGAATTCAGTATAATATACTTGGTAGTTATGAATAAAAACAAATGTAACAAAAGCCTCCAAATTTTTACTACTTGAACAAGTATGCCCCAGTATATTGGTTTCTGCATTTGAATGGAAAATACCATTGCACTACATATTCCAGGAACTCAGAGTGAAGCCTTGGGACTTGCAAAGTGATTGCTCATCTAGGTCTTGTTGAGGCCCTGACTAAATTGGTTTCAAACCAGTATGGTGTTTATACCAAAATTAATATTTTCAATGAATAATCTTTTATTCTTTCATCTTCATAATTCATAGATAAGCTGCTTTTCAATACATTGCTATAACAGCAAAAATGTATTAAGGACACATTGTGTTCTGTTATAGTTTAGCATGATGAAGAGATCACAGGATCCAGTGGACCCATGAAAGTTGATACTTCAAACTCAGATGTGTTTGTGTAATCTTGTTGCAGTTTTTGGTTGTATTTTATGTTTCTGATCTTTGGCCATAATAATACAATTAATTTACTGTATTACAGGTAGTCCTCAATTTAGGACCACAATTAAGCCCAACATTTCCATTGCTAAGCAAGACAGTTGTTAATTGAGTTTTGCCCCACTTTATGACCTTTCTTGCCACAGTTGTTAAGTTATTAATAGGGCTGTTAACTAAATCTGGCTTTCCCATTGACTTTACTTGTCAGAAGATTGTAAACAGTGATCACATGACCCTAGGATACAGCAACTGTCATAAATACATGCAAGTTTCCAGGCATCCCAATTTTGAACATGGGACCATGAGGCTGCTGCAACAGTTCTAACTGTGAAAAATAGTACTATTTTCAGTACTGTTGTAACTTATACAATTCATTTAGTGATTGTTCAAAGTTGAGGATGGGTCTAAGCAACTCGCCACAGCCAACTTGCTGTGGGACAGTTCATCATAGCCAACTCACCATGGGACAACTTGCTGCAGGACAAGAGTTACACTAATATCAAAGAAATGGTGGAATAGAATAATTAAAGAAAGGATGTCAAAGAAGGGAAATGAAAATGTGAATGACAAAAAAATAAAATAATTTTTTAAATTATTTTAAATAATTGAATCGTTCCTGGAGAGTTGGCCATGGCAAGTAGGCCCATTCCGGTTGAGGACTATCTACAGTGATATATCTGTGAATGAGTATCAGTTGATCAAGAGGAAGGCAACTGCAAACTTGCTACTGTGAAGCCAGATATTTCTGAACTTCAAATCTGATTATAATGTATGAAGTGTCATGCAAATTAAGGTTGTTGAAAATTCTAATTCAGCTACATCTGGAGGGCCATTTATGTCCATTGATTTCATGTCAAGATTTAAATTTTCTTAAAGCAACTGGCTAGAGATTCATTTAGATCTAAAAGGGGATTTTTTAAATGCTGCAACATCGTCAAAGGCTGCATTATGCATTGGGCAATTATAAAAACCATAGCTATGGGATAGTTGCATATACAAGGGCAATTCGGAAATAAACCTCCGTTTGGTTATTAATGGCAGACACTCGCAGATACAGAACTTTTATTATACACATTAGAAAACTACAACATTACATTACTTTTTGACATCGCCATTCAAATTGAGGCACTTGTCATAATGTCTTACAAGGTTTGAAATTCCCTAATAGTCGCTTGGTGCCAAATCTGGGCTATGGGGGGGGGGGGTGATCAAAAACATCCCAACAGAACTGCTTCAAAAGTTCTTGGGTGTGTCTAGCGGTATGCGGGCAAGCATTATCGTGAACCAACACCACACCTGAAGTCAGCATGCTCCGATGCTTGTTATGGATGGCTCATCTGAGTTTTCATAAAGTTTCACAATAGACTTCTGAATTGATGGACGAGCCACACTCCATGAACTTCACTAGCAGTAATCCTTTGGCTTCTTCACATTTGGTGGGATTTTCTATGGTACCACTTCCGATGTGTTGGTTCACAATAATTCTTGCCTGCACACCGCTAGACACACCCAAGAACTTTTGAAGCAGTTCTGTTGGGATGCTTTTGATCACACTCCCATAGCCCAGATTTGGTGCCAAGCAGCTACTACTAAGTAATTTCAAAACTTGTAAGATGTTATGACAAGAGCCTCAATTTGAATGGCAATTATGTCAAAAAGTAATGCAATGTTGTAGTTTTCTAATCTGTGTAATAAAAGTTCTGTATCTGTGAGTATCTGTCATTGATAACCAAACGGAGTTTTTTTTTCTGAATTGCCCTCGTAATAATAGCCTTGCCAAGCAATATGAGATTGAAGAGTTTTTGTAAGTTTTATGGTCATTTTCTATTAAATATTAGATATTACAGTTAATTAAGCCCTTTAAAAATAAAGTTCAGGACAAGTACATTCCTAATACTCATGCTTTTATTTAGCTATTTGATTTTGGTGTATCATTCTTGGGCCTTCTTACTTGTATAAAATAAATTTAAAATTAAGGAAGTTTAATGATTTTTTCTGCCTTTTCACCAAAACTGAATATAGCTTAAATCAGGGGTCCCCAACCCCTGGTCCGTGGACTAGTACCTGACCGTGGCATGCCAGCAACAGGTCCGCACAAACAAGCAAAGCCCCATCCACATGATGCAGGCAGCACACAAAACCACGCACCCTCCGGTCTGCATAAAAACCTCTCTCCATGGAACCGGTCCCTGGTGCCCAGTAGGTTGGGGACTTCTGGCTTAAATCATTAAACCTACATACTTTTGAAATTTTGAGAGCATGCTTTAGACACACAGAATGAACACAATTGTGCATGTAATCAAGCATTTATTTACCAGGAGTAAACCAACTATTTCCAGCCCTCACTACTGACTGATGATTATGTCTTGTTAAGTCAATGTTGACTATTAATGACTAGCTCTTTATTTTTAACAATTTTCTCCCTGATTTGTTCTCAACCTGGTCCTTTGACCTCCTTGTGGTGCACCTGTCACTGTTTAATTGAATCCACTCACCTTGCTTTTGGTCACCCTCTTCTCTTTTATTCTACTTTTTCCAGCATTCTCCAGAAAGCTAGGACTTCATTTTATATAATAATTTGAGCCTTATTTGTTCCTCAAATGAAAATTGGACAGACTTGTTTGACATTTAAATTCAATAACATCAGCACCCTTTCTATCTTGCCTCTCCAAATACCAGTTTTCATTTCCATAGAATGTCACATGGAAAACCATTGCCTGCACCATTTTGATTTTTGTGAATATAGTCAAAAATGGCATCCAAATAGCTTTGCCAAGAACTTTATTATTACTTTACCAAGTGCTTGTCTGCAGAATATTTCTTGATTACTAATTCAGTTACTATTGATGGTTCACCCTAAGATGCAGAATTTGTTTGTTTAATTTATTTGCCACCTGTCACTATAGGGCTATTCCTTATAACAGGAAAAAAAATATTCAATACTTTAGAATCTTGCCAATTCTAAGGCTGGTAGCTATATTTGTTGTCATAATTTTGATTTTCTCTACATATAATCTTAATCTGATTTTTTTTACCATATTCATTGATTTTCATGATTAGATGCTGCAGATCATTTGCATTTTTTAGCTGTCAGAATAGTGTCATCACCATAGCAAATAATTGATGTTTCTTCTTCCAGCTTTAAAACCATGCTTACCTTCAAATCCAGCATTCCTCAGTATATACTCAACACAGAGGCTGAATAAATAAGAGGAAAATATACAGATGTTCTCTATCTTCTTGACTTAATTTGTTTTACTTTTATCTATTTTATTATAGAATCTGCTGACCCTACAGACATAGGAGAAAATACATATTGTGCTTGAAAATGGTAGTTTTAGTATGCTAATTTAAATGACATGAGACTTCAGGGAAAGAACCTGGGAGAAACTAGAGGGGATGATTGGGATGGAAACCAAGTAGTCTAAAGGGCTGGTTGCCACTGAAGGCAGCAATTGAAGGAAGGCTGATACCTTGGTTTTTTACTGATCTTGGAAAATACAATAAATTACATAAATGCTTAGACTTTCAAAAATAGTCCTACAGTGTTACATATGATTTAATCACAAAAGTAATAGGTAGCTGTACCGCACTATTGCATTACTTGATAAAGTGTTCCTTTTTAACTGGCAGCAGTGCCTTATATATTATTCCAATGTTTGGTTTATTTATTACTCCTATATTAAGAGACTTTGGACATCCAGTTTACTACTTTTGCTTGAGGATGGATTTGCATTATGTGACGATATAAAACTCATTTTTAGTTGTGAGAATAAATTATAAAGAATTAATTATATTTTTGGTGCTTTATTGACAAGTGAAATCCAAATAAGCTGCATTTTTAATTTTTTATATGCTCTGGATTTTCTGGAAGTTGTACTTCACTTCCTCTTTCTTGCTTACATTAATTAATATATAAGAACAATTCTGAGAATTTTTTCTACCAATGCTTAATTTGAAAACTAATTTATTTTTACATCATTTGTTAAAAACATAAAATTAAAAAATGTTGAATATCTATTGAAATATGAATAGTTATTGCGTGGTAAGATCATGAAATAATTTTGCCTTGAAATTAGTTAATTGAATTAAATAACAATGTATAGCTTCATTCATTTATAGAAATCTATCTATTACTTCCTAGCATTAGGCAAACAATCCGTATGGTTCTTTTCCCTTTTACAACCTGTTTAACCTCAATAATGGAAAGTAAAATTTATATTGTAAGTGAAGAAAAGTACTGCTTTGTATATTGCTTTGTATATTTCTTTTTTCTTCTTTGAAATACAGAATGAAGAGAATGTAGACTTACGACAGACTTACAGTACTTCACTTTCTACAACCTCTGAATATTCAAACCACAGTGACTCTTCTCTTTTCTACGTCCCATGGTCCACTTATGCAGATGATAATAAACAACCTTCAAATTCTCAAATTAGTGTAAAGAGCAGGTATATGATTTAAGAATTAAATGAACTTTGAAATTTGTTTTGCTTTCTGGCATAAGACAGAATTATGTTGGGGATTTTCTAATTTTTTTCTAATGTGCAACAATCTGCACAGAGCACTTTTATTTTTGCCCCTAATTTATAGCATATATATAACTTTTATAGAATGGATGAAATTTCAAATACTCTCCTGTTACTAATTCTGGGTTTTGTTTTTTGTTTTTTAAAGAATGATAAGGAAAAAAGAAACCTGGCAAAAAAGAAACTAAAATGCTCCGAATAATGTTATGTCATCCTCTTCCATTCTGTAAACATATTTGCCTTTGATCTACCCTTTCTTTTGCAGAAATACAGTGATAGATGTAAAAACCAAAGCCTTCAAATGTCTCTCCTCTTCTAATAGCAAGAGAAAAATTTAAGAATTAGAACTGTATATTTCACCATATCCCCTTATGTTGTACTGTATTCTACTGTGGCTGATCATTTTGTTAGTCTAAATGACAGAGTTTGAGAAGTCAACTGAAGATGAAAAAAAGGCTCCTCTTGCATTTTATACTTATAAAAGATGTTAGTAAGAATGTTTAGGGAATGAGGGCAGAAAAATCTTTAAGGAATGATTTTGATGGTCTGAGGTTTATAAAATCATCTGGGCCTGAATTTTGGAATTTGGGAAAATTTCCTGGCATTACTATTTATATTAATAAAAAGGGATTAATAAAAAAGGTATGGTTTTGGCCTTTCCAACCCATGGAATCTTGGAGCTTTTTTTTATTTAACTCTGACACTTGTTTTTGCCTTTGAAAATTACATCAGTTTTATATTTTTAATGTGGATGTATTTGCTCTTTAATAATTATTAAAGTAAGTGCAGCAATAAAACATGGAGATACTATACAGTATTCTGTTATTTCACAAGTTGCACTGCTGAACAACTGTCATCTTAGCAGGCTTTTACAATACAAATCAATACAAAGCTTACATATTATCAGATGAATGCAAGGCTGACAGATTGTAAAATCATTTGAGATTTCCTCCAATAGCAGTTTGGATATATTTGAATTATAGAAGTTCTTGTACGGTATTAAATGTGAATTAATGTACAATTATGTGTCATTTAGATCATGTTTGGTTGTGAAATTCATTTTTATCAGCTGTTGTCTGATAGGAAGCTAGCAGAATAAAATATATAAAAAATTAAGTTATGCTATGTAAGAAGGAACTTGGTGAAATAAGTTGTAGTTCTGGATTATTCATTATATCATAGGTATAGACCAGTGATGGCGAACCTTTTAGAGACCGAGTGCACAAACTGCAACCCAAAACCCACTTATGTATCATTGGGTACTGGGTGGGCGTGGCCCATTGGGTGGGCGTGGCCCATTGGGTGGGTGTGGCTGCAGTGGTAATGGCAGAATGGATGGGACTAAAAAGTTCAATTAATCAATTCCAACTTTGCGAGATCTTTTTTTTCCCTGAGAAGTTGAAATTGATTGATTGAACCTTTTTTTTTTTTTTTTGCACATGGCGGCGGAGGCCTAAAGCGAAAAGGTTTTATAAAACCCAGCTGACAGCCTAGGACTGGGGCAATGGCGCATGTGCCCACAGAGAGGGCTCTGCGTGCCACCTGTGGCATGCGTGCTATAGGTTCGCCACCACAGGTATAGACTATACAATTAAAAAACCTAAACATAATAGAATTTAGATGATAAGCAACAATTCACCATACTTTATTTGTCCTCAGGATTCAAACAGAAAGAAATGACTATGGCAGTGAAACAGACCTATATGGACTTGTGTCTAACATCTTGGAAGAACAAGATAAATCACAGCCATATTTTACTGAAGGGTTAGTACTATATTTGACATAGATGCTCACTATAACATAGATGTAATCAGCGTTCATCATATATAGCCACTTTTTCAGTAGTTAACCTACTTCTAATAGTAAAAGGTTGCAATTTCTGTTCCTATTTTAGCAAAGCTTTGATGCATACATACTTGAAAATTAAAATTTTTAAGTATTTTTTCAGCTTTTAGTAAGTGTCTTAAACAGTATATTGGATCTATTTCAAAAATCTATGTTCTTGAATTTATTCATTAAATAAGATATATGCAGGTTACTTGCAACCTACTCATATTGGCAGCATACCTACCTTTTTAATATTTATTTTTACTTTAATATATATGTTGTTTTAAGACTATAATTGTAATAGCCTTTAATAGCTCTCTGGATACATTAATTATAGAACACATCAAAAGCATAAAGTTTAAAACTTAGTAAGAAATTGCCACAACTATTTATGTTTCATTCTTCTAGAGCATGTGCCTCCAGTTTAAAATCTGTATGGCCTGTGAGCACTACTCGATTTACAGACCACCCTGATTTGTTGTCTGAAACAAAAAGAGCAATAGATGGAGTCATTCCTCAACAGGCTTTTTATGGTGGAGAATCTTTACCAGTTTCTGAAAAACAGTATCTGCACACTGGTAATGTAATTTTGCAGCAGAAGGTGGATGACCTTTACCATGAACTTACTAATATAGATCTTGATGAGCAATGGCTGTTTCCTTCCAGGAATGATAATCTCAGCTGTTACAATGTTCAGTCCAATGAAAATGCAAAGCCATCACAATTTCAAGACTATCCATATGTGAAAACATGTTTTACCCCACAAACTAATCTTTTAGAAGCAATAAAAGAATCAGGAGCTGATACCTACACTTATGGAAGAGATAAAATGGGTCCTAAGGGACATGATTCACAACATCAAAAGAAAGCTGAAATGTTTCTTTCACAATTTAATAGGTATGGTGAAAATGCTGATTATTATAGATACCTGGATTATTCTCATCTTAATAAAGTAAAACAAAATAAAAACATGAATTATGGTGTTCAAGAAAGTAAAAAATTACCAAGTGGAACACCTGAGCTACCAATGTTAGATACAGATAATTATAGTAAAATTTTTCAAAACAAACAAGTTGTTCAAAAGAAAATGGAAGATGTATCTTCAGAACAGCAAAGTTTTACATTTCAAAAGACTACAGGACTCATATCAGAAAAACAGTTTGTGAATGAAAATTCATTTACCCCTGATTTTGGTTTAAAGTCGGATTTTACCCTGAAATCTCATATAGCTGTTCCAGGTAGTGGTGATTTTGCAAACGTTACAGAAAATTCAGATTATTTCAAATCACTGAATATTTTAGCAACAAACCCAGTAACTACTTCACCAAGCACAAATTTGAGGCCAACATGGATAAATATACAAGCTAAAAACAGTTCATCTCTCCCTATTCGGAATCAAAGCACCTTGGTAAAATTGAGTAATTTATCTACAGGTTCAAAAGGTTCCAATCATTCTTATGATTTTTCTCAGCTATCATCAACCAATGTAACTTTAAATAATAATTTGTTGCTTCAGAAATACCGCCAAGAAGCACCTACGGTATTTTCCAATTTTGATTTCAAAGATGGTGGCGCTGCAGACAGAGTTTCTTCTTCCAGTCATACAGAAGGATTAAGTAAAGTAGAAGAAAGCCTTTTTGAATGCATTATTGACAAAAAAATTAAGCCACCAAATGGTTTTTGTGATAACTATTCACAGCAATATGGGATCATTGAAAATGTGAACAAGCACAATTTTCAAGTTAAACCACAGACTGGACATTATGAGGTTGAGGAAGGCCAAAAACATTTAGATGGATTGTCTCAAAATTCTTATCAAGATATATTGGAGTCTCAAGGCCACTTAAATAGTCATAGACAAGGAAGTGGAGATAGTAATATTGTCAGTAACCGTATAAATCGCAACCAGGTTTCTTGTTTCTCAAATAATTTTATGATGGGTGATTTGAGACATAGCCCAAATGCCCAACAGCTAAATTCAAATAGATTTCCTTTGAAATCCAACCATGCTTTTGGACCGTCAGTTATTCCTTTGATGGATTCCTATGATTTGTTTTCCTATGAGGATTTAAGCCATTTTTACCCATATTTTAATGATATGATGTATGGAGACAATTCTTTCACCGGCTTCATGCCAACATTTGGATTTCAAAGACCAGTGAAAACTCGAAGTGGATCAGCCAGTGAGCTTCATATTAGATTGGAAGAATGTTATGAACAGTGGAGAGCTCTAGAGAAAGAAAGGAAAAAGGTAAGAAACTTAGCAGAGTAGAATAGTTATTACAAATAATATGTCTTATTTTAAATTTCTTCTTCTTAAACTACTTCTTCTACAAGAAATAGAAGTTCCAAATATCCATATTCTACTGTACTAAAAAACCCAGATCCCAAGATATAAAACAATGGAAAAAATTAATTGTTAATAGCTACCTTAATAGAAGAAAAGGAGCAGCAGTCATGTATACATTTTCTCTAGTATTAATCCAATTAAATTCAGTGGGCTTATTTTTGGTCATGTGTTAGATTTCCCAACAGTGGTACTCTAAAATTTATCCCTCTTCCTCATAAAATGAAAGTAGCTTCTTATTTTTATATGGAAGAATAAAGTATTACTCTTGAGAACACAAATACTGCCTCCATCCAAAAATTGAATACAGATAGTTCTTGACTCATGACCTTAATTGAGCCCAAAATTCTGTTGCTAAACGAGACATTTGTTAAGTGAATTTTGCCTGATTTTAAATCTTTCTTGCCACAGTTCTTAAGTATATACTGTAATTGTTAAGTTAGTAACATGGTTGCTAAGTGAATCTGGCTTCTCCATTGACTTTGCTTGTTAGAAGGTCACAAAAGGTGATCACATGACCCTAGGTCACTGCAACTGTCATAAGAGTGAATCAGTTGCCAAGTATCTGAATTTTGATCATGTCACCATGGGGATTCTACAATGGTCATAAGTGTCAAAAACTGTTGTAAGTCAGCTTTTTCAGTGCGGTTGTAACTATGAGTGGTCACTAAATGAACTGTTGTAAACTGAGGACTACCTATAAGCCATCAGGCCATCACTAAAGGAATCCCATAGAGGGGAACAAAAATACAATACAGGTAGTTTTCGACTTACAACAACAATTGAACCTAAAATTTCTGTTGCTAAGTGAAACAGTTGTTAAGTGAGTTTCCCCCATTTTATGACCTTTCTTGCTACAGTTGTTAAGTGAATCACTGCATTTGTTAAGTTAACACGATTATTAAGTGAATCTGGCTTCCCCATTGACTTTGCTTGTTAGAAAGTCACAAAAGATGATCACATGACCATGTGATACTGCAACAGTCATAAATACATTCCAGTTGCCAAACATCCAAATCAAGGAATCAAGGGGATGCTGCAATGGTCGTAAGTGTGAAAAATGGTTTTAAGTCAGTTTTTCAGTGCGGTTGTAACTTTGAATGCTTACTAAACAAATTGTTGTCAGTTGAGGATTACCTACAGATGGCAAAGATGCACTATCAATTTACTCTCCTTCTACAGGTAGTCTTTGACTTACAACAATTCATTTAGTGACTGAAATTACAATGGCACTTGTTCGCTTTGTTGTGATTTTGCTGAAAGCCAGAAGTATATCCTGGCAAAAACATAAATCACAATCATGTGACATTTGGATGCTGCAATTAGTGGTAAATATGGACCAGTTGCTGAGCATCTGAAATGTGGTCACATGATTGGGGGAGGACAGTTATTGGAACTTTGGAATCAGGTCATAAATATCTTTTGGGAGGTCAGTGTAACTATGAACAATTTCTAAGTGACTGGTCATGAGGACTATCTATACAATAGTTGCAGCACCCTGCGGTCTTATGGTAATGATTTACGATCTTCCCAGCCAACATCTAACAAGTAAAATCAGTGGTGAAGCCAGATTCATATAATGACCATTTGATTGACATAATGACATGGCTTTGATCCAATCATGGTGATTTGATTAACAACCATGGTAAAAATGGTTGTAAAATTGAGTCCAGTTACATGATGATTGAATTGCTTAATGACTGTATTGCCTAATGGCTGAAATTCTGGTCCCAATTGTTGTCATAAGTCAAACACTATCTGTATATTATATTACATAAGTGCACCTAGTAAATGCTTCTATAACTGTTCTTTTCAAATATATTAAATTCTAAGACAATCCATAAAACAGCAGTTTTGGCTTCATTAACATCCTCTTCTAGATTTCTTTCTTGTGAAGATCAAGATAGAACTAATCTCCTTAATATTCTTATTTCTATGCAAACATGTTCTGTTGCTGGGTATGTCATGATACCCATGGTATTTGATATCAGAATACATATATAGAGATAGTCCTCGACTTACAACAGTTTGTTTAGTGTTCAAAGTTACAGTGGCACTGAAAAAAGTGATTTATGACCATTTTTTACACTTAAGACCATAACAGCATCCCTGTGGCCATATGGACAAAATTCAGACGCTTAGTAACTGACTTATATTTATGGCAGTGTCCTGCGGTCATGTCTCTGACAAGCAAAGTCAATGAGGAAGCCAGATTCACTTAACAACCGTGTGACTAATTTAACAACTGCCATGATTCGCTTAACAAATGTGGCAAGAAAGTCATAAAATGGAGCATAATTGACTTAACAAATGTCTCACTTAGCAACAGAAATTATGGGCTCAATTGTGGTCGTAAGTCGAGGTGTGGACTCCAATCCTTTTCTTGTTTTCAAGAAATTGAATAATTTGTCAATTGAATTTTAAGATACTTAATATTTCTAGAGCCTCTTTTCTTTGTTATCCTCCAAAGGGAGGAGTCCATTCTGGATGAAATGAGTTTACAATCAAATAAGGACTTCAACTGGGGACTTCATATCTTCCTTTGATCTGTCAGAGATTTAAGATACTTTCCCATAGTAGTAGCAGAAGCATTTCTCGATTTTCTTATCAAAACAATCATCTTGAGTTCTAAGCCTTATTTTTTTATTTGCCGTGGGCCCCAAAGGTGTTTTCTATATTTTATTTATATACCTGTTTGTTTAAACAATTTGTATAGCTGTCCATCTCAAACAATGGTGTTATATAAAAATTTAAAAATATCACAAAAGTGCAAACTCATGATGTCCCAATTAAACAATAATCCCCAAAACAAAAGCACATCACTACACCAATGTTGCTCATCTAGCTATTTTGTTTCAAAGCCTGGAAAAAGAGCTAAGTCTTCAGATCCTTACAAAATCTTAACAGCATCTGGGCCATCTGGATCTCTCGGGAGATCCCAGATTGAGATCTGGATAACCCATAGTAACTAAGTCTCTAAAAGACTTTACTCATATCTGGAGAATCCATTAATCATCTTTCTTAGTTCGAGTGCAGGTTTGAACTAAGGTTAAATATTCCAATGTATGCTGTATGTGATCTCCATTATGTCTTATCATAAAAAAAATACCTAGAATACATTAGGGGTTTTTTAATCTCTAGAAAAAATATTGATAAGGTGTCAGATCCATACCATCCACAAGTGCTTCCTGAAGGGAAATTTACTTCTTATCCTCTTGTGATGCACAGACGGTATTTTGATCAGGAATTTTACAGATTGTTGTAAGCCACCTAGAGTATCCTAATGGCAAGATAGCCGGCAGATAAATTTAACAAACAAACAAATAAATATTATTCTCAAGACCTCCCACTGAACCTCTGATATCTTCCAGGCCCATGTCTTTAGTACAGGCAAATAGTCATTAATTTGACCAAAAGAATCTCCAAGCTGATTCCCCTTTCTGTTTATAAATTCTTACACATTTTATTAGCAAGACATTAAAATGAATATTAAATATATATCCTTATTTTGTTTTACTGATTCCATTTTTGTGCCATTTAATTCCAGTTGTCTAGGTAAGAAAGCTGCTAGCCCTTTTCTCGCTAAGTAGTTTAAAGATAATTTAAATTGCAAGTCCTATGATAGCAAATTTTCTAAACTTTCACTTGTTGCCCATGCACTTTGACAAGACTGTCACCTTAACTATATTTTCTTCTTATGTCTCCTTATTGGAAATATGCAGGGCAACTTTCTGGATATATTTTCATTAAATAGTATAAGTTATTATTTCATAGTAACGTATTTAAAAAACAACTTTTAATAGATGCAGTTTGCCATAGATCTGTTCTTACATGTCAGTCTGATATCACATTTATTCTGAAGGTTCCTTCTAATTTGATGTAAAGGAGCTATCTAAGGTTAAGCACTATTTCAGCTTCAACTAGGTTTATCAGCTACTAATGATAAAATAATAACTTTTTCTCTTCCTAATGCTATCCTCATATAAATTTTTAATTTAAGTTTGGCTGTAGAAAAGTAGAAGATAGAGCAACAGCTACAGCGCTTAGACTTATATACCACTCCACAGTGCTTCACAATCCTCTCTTAAGTGGTTTTACAGAGTCAGCATATTGCCCCCAACAATCTGGGTTCTCATTTTACATCTCGAAAGGAAGGAAGGCTGAGTCAACTTATGTGGTTATATAATTACAAGTTACATAATTTCGTACTTCCTCCATGCCAACCAGAAAGAAACTTTATGTCTGACCAATATCAAAATTTCAGTGTTTTCTATTCTATTATTAAATTTAACAAGTTATTGTCTTCTAAGATTGTATGACTGAAATTTTGAACTGTAAACTTCTGCTAGGGAATATGTATTAGACACACACACACACACACACACACACACACACACACACACACACACCAGGGAGATTTAACCATTGGAATCCAGCAGCTATGTTTGGAACTGATAACACTATATGCATTCCTGAAGTGGATGCAAATAACTATTTTATAGTCTTAATGTGACATTAGTTATTCTGCTTTTCAGACTGAATCTGCTCTTGCCAAGAATTACCCTGGGAAGAAGGTATCTAGCACTAATAACACTCCTATCCCAAGACTGACATCAAATCCATCCAGAGTTGACCGTTTAATTGTGGATCAGTTGCGAGAGCAAGCCAGAGTGAGTTATTTAAATTTCAAATCTCATATTTTATCAGCTTTGTTACTTTCCCGAAATAAGTGCAAACATTCTGCCAAACAGAAAGATTGACCTTTACATGCAGTGAAATGTTTCTTTAACTTTTTATGCCTTGCTCCTCCACCTCACTCCTAATAGACATGGCTGCACAAAACAATTTTATATAAACCATTTGATGTTGGACACAGTTTGCTCCATCTTCAGTCCTGTCAGTTCTAAGGAAAGAGGACTGAATGCAGTTTCCATCAACTTTTCTTGCTATAAGCTGGCATTCCTGCTCCCTCTTACTGGTTTTTCTTCTGCTTGTGCTCTTGGGTTAGTGATGAAAGTAAAAGCAGGCATGTTGGGAAAGGAACATCACCATGTAAAAAAAGGAGTAAGTACCTTCAAACACTGAGAAAAAGTATTTACTTACATATTTTAATTCTACAGTTATCTTCATATCATGAATCTGAAGTTTATTAAGATTAGAACAGTTCAAGGAGATAAATAAGTGAAACAAGTTACACTAGTTATTTATTTAATATATTTCCAATACTGTAAAATATGACTTGTCTTGGCAGAGGACATAGAATAAAAAATACTTTTAGAGCATTCATGAAAAAAAATCTAAAAACCTGACAGTGATAAGTAAAAACAATAGCAATAAATACATTAAGCAATAACCACAACAATACCATAAAAATAGACAATAAAAATAAAAAAATGGCAACATCAAATTGGGCAAAGGCTTCTGAATCAGTTTGATTTTTACTGTTTTTGTTTTTAAAAAATCAAAGAAAGGGTAGGTAATTATTTTGTGAAAGCTATTCCACAATTTCTATGCTGCTATAGAGCAGTGACATCTTGCTTCAGCTTGTTCCTCCCCCAACCTCCCAGAAGTGAAGAATTTGTAACAATTATTCCTAATAGATCTAACTGGTTGGGCTGATACTGGCTGGAGTAAATGGTTCCGCAGGTACAGGTAACTTTATCATGATCCAATTATTGTAGTTATCAGTAAAAAAACAAACCCTGAAGTATTGTTCCATAAATATAATTTTCAAAAACAAAATGTTTTGAAACTCTTAAATTCAGAATATTGTGAAATGGCATGGGGATATTTTAGCAAACACAAATAGGACAGTTGCCTTGGATTCACAGAAATGTAATTCTTTGAAATATTTAAAAAGAAATTTCATAGTTTTATAGTGAGGCCTTCAGTAATAATTTTTCTTTTCAATACTTTTAAGAAAAGGGCTAAATTTCTCTTGACAGAAGTCAATTAGGATGGAGTTTAAACTGTTTTCTATTAATATTCATAGGTTGTGACTCTGCTGGGAAAGATGGAACGTCTTCGAAGTTCTCCCCTTCATGCAAATATCTGTACTGCTCTTGATAAGCACTTGGAAGCAATACATGTTGTACAGTCCCGCAGAAAGGATGAAATTGTCAATGCTTCACATCGGCAAAGACAAGGAGGCCCCCGGTGTCAAGATGACAGAGGTAATACAGAATAATAGAGTTGGAAGGGACCTTGGATACTTTCTAGTTCTATCTCTGCTGAAACAGGACACCTATATCATTTTGGAGAAGTAGCTGTCCAATCCCTTCTTAAAAACTTCCAGTGATGGAACACCCATAACTTTTGAAGGCAAGCTATTCCACTGGATAATTTTTCTAACTGTCCGGAAATTTCTCATTATTTTCTGGTTAAATCTCTCTTTGACAAGTTCTAGTATATTATTTCTTGTCTTGCCCTCAGGTGCTTCGGAGAATAGCATGTCCCCCTCTTTGTAACAGTCCCTCAAATATTGGAAGACTGCTACGATGTCAACCCTATCTGTTCATCATATGTTTTAGTCTTCAGATCCCTAATTATCTTGGTTGCTTTTCTCTGCACTTTTTCTACAGTGTCAATATCTGTTTTGTATTGTGGTGACTAGAACTGGGTGCAGTATTCCAACTGTGATCTTACTAAGGCAGTATATAGCGATACTAATACTTCCTGTGAACTTGAAGTATTCTTTGTTGATGCAGTCTAGGATTACATTGGTTTTTTGGCAGCAGCATACTGCTAGCTCATACTTAAATGGTTGTCCACTAGATACATCTCACAATTACTGTTGTTGAGTCAGGTACCACTTATTCTGCACCTCTGTATTTGAGTTTTCTTGCCTAAGTCTAAAACCTTAGTTTTCTCATCACCAAATTGCATTTTGTTGGATAGCGCCCACTGTTCAAGATCTTCCTGGATCTTGAGCTTATCTTCTAAAATGTTTTTCTATTCCCCCTTGCTTGGTGTTGTCTGCAAATTTTATGAGTTCTTCTATTCCCTCATTTAAATCATCTGTGAAGGTGTTGAAGAGTATTAGGCCTAGGACAGAACCTTGGGGGTACCCCACTGTATATTTTTCTCCATATAGATCTAGTTCCATTAAGCGCTACATGTTGAATACAGTTTGTCAGCCAGTTACATAGCCATCCGGTAGCGATGCTGTCCACCCCACATTTTTCTATCTTCCCAAGATGTAGGTTGTGGTCTACTTTGTCAGATACCTTACTGAAGTCCAAGTATTATGTCCACAACATTTCACTGGTCCACTAATTTAGTCACTTTTCTAAGAATGCAATAAAATTTGGGCATGATCTGTTTTGACAAAACGTATTGGTTTCTAGTAATAGTTTTGTTTGCTTCTAGATCTGTTGTTTGATTATCTTTCCTAAAGATGGGAACAACATCAGTTCTTTTCTAGTCCTCTGATACTTCTCCAATGTTCTATTAGTGGACCGCTGTTTCCTTGACTTTTTTATTTTTTGCATGTTGAAAGAATTTTTAAAAATTATTTTTGACATTTGTTGCAAGTCTTAGCTCAGTGGTGCCGAACCTATGGCACGGGTGCCAGAGGCGGCACTCAGAGACCTCTCTGTGGGCACATGCACCGTCGCCCCAGTCCTAGGTCTTCAGCTGGGTTTTATAAAACCTTTTCGCTTTAGGCCTCCGCCACCGTGTGCAAAAAAAAAAAAGGTTCAATCAATCAGCCAATTTCAACTTCTCGCGGGAAAAAAAAGTTCTTGCAAAGTTGGAATTGATTGATTGAACTTTTTAGTCCCACCCAGCCTGCCGTTACCACCGCAGCCACGCCCACCCAATTGGCTACACACACCCAATGGGCCACACACACCCGGCACCCAACGATGCATAAGTGGGTTTTGAGTTACAGTTTGGGCACTCGGTCTCTAAAAGGTTCGCCATCACTGTCTTAGCTCATTCTGAGCCTCAGCTTTTCTGACTTTACTTTTGCAGATTCAGGCTATATCCTGATATCCTGTCTTAGTTATGGTCCCTCTTTCCATTTTTTTATACTTGTCCTTTTTGTCTTCCAGTTTAACAGAGAGTTCTTTATGCAACTATGTTAATTTCTTCTTGGATCTCTTATTTTTCTTTTCAGTGGTATTTATGCTGGACTGGGTTTTATAATCTCGTTTTTTTCTGAATTTCTCAAGCTTCTTGAGTTGTTTTTTCCTTTAAGATTTTCATCTATGGAATTCTTCCCAAATTCTAAGTTGGTTGAAATCAGCTCTCTTAAAGTCTAAGACACTAGTTTGATTTTGTTCTATTGCTTGTGTTTATAATAATAATAATAATAAAGTTGGAAGGGACCTTGGAGGTCATATAGTCCAACCCCCTGCTCAGACAGGAAACCCTATACCATTTCAGACAAATGGCTGTCCAGTCTCTACTTAAAAACTTCTGGAGGCAGGCTGTTCCACTGATTAATTGTTCTAACTGTCAGGAAACTTCTCCTTGGTTCTAGGTTGCTTCTCTCTTTGATTAGTTTCCATCTGTTCCTTCTTGTCCTGTCTTCAGGTGCTTTGGAGAATAGCTTGACTCCCTCTTCTTTGTGGCAACCCCTGAAATATTGGAATACTGCTATCATGTCACCCCTATTATATTATATTATACTGAATTTCAAAATGACATGGTACTTTCCTCCAAAGGTCCCACAACTTCAATCTCTTCTATCTTTTCAACTCTGTTGGTAAGAATTAAGTCCAGTATAGCTGATTTTCTGTTCAGAGGTCACCAACCTTTGTCGTTTGGCGGATCAGATGAAAAGGGAGGGGGAAACATTTTATATGCGTGCATGCGGATGGGGGCGTAAGCACACGCGTGCCACAAATGGGGTGGGGCTAACGCTTGTATGATACTCGCTAGCCATGCCCTGTTCTTGCGGGGCATAGTGCCTTGTTTCCACGCCCCATGGTGTGTCGTCCATTTTTGCACCTTGCAGTGCATGTCAGACCGTTTTTGTACCCCGTGGCGACCCATTTTTGTGCCCCATGGTGTGCCGTCCTGTTTTTGTGCCCTACAGCCGTGACGCTAGCATGAGGGTTTGCGTGCACATGCGCACATACTGGCCAGCCTACCCCGTGGCCCGGTGTCCAGGACGCCACGGCCCACTATCGTCCCACAGCCCACAGATTGGGGACCCTGCTCTAATTCCTTTCTCTACATTTTGGGAGACAAAGTTTTGTCTAGAATCTATTTGATCTCTAACTAGGGACAGTTTGCCATCCAATTGATATTAGGATAGTTAAAAATCCCCCAATATTATTAACTGACTGAGCAAAAAAGTTACCCTTATTAAAATATTCTATCTTTGCATCTTTTTAAACAAAAACATATTAGCTCTTAATATTTGTTACTCAAAGGAAAAAGTTTATTTAATAATAATTTGCAACTTTCCAACTTAGCACAAAATAAGCTATTTATTTAATATTTCCAAAACCATGTATTGACAGTTGCTGTTGATTGATGCATCATTACATGAAACTAAGTTCATTTTATAGAATTTATAAAAATGTTTAAAAAGATCAAAATTAGAGTGCAAGTACACTTGCCGTAATAATAAAAAAGGGTGAGATATTACATTATGTACCTTTTTAAAGATAGAATTACAATTCTTGTATTTTCTTACTCTTCCTTTGAAACCATGGTTATTGGCAGATTCTGTATTGGTTAATAAAATGGAAGATAGTTATTAAATGAATGAAAGCAAATATATGTGTTTCAGGATAATGTTGCAGGATCCAATCCGGGTTGGTCGCCGGGACTAGATGTTTTTTTCTTCCGAGCTTTTGGACTCGTGCTGGAGCCCCCATCCTCTCAGGGGGCTTCTCTCTAGCCTGCATAATTATTAAACTTAGAAATGAGTGTGTGCAGCACTGGATTGAAAGCAGGACAGAATACTTCATATCTGGCATGGATGCGCTCTGTACCTGTTGGTGCCAACAGATATAAAGAGACTGGCCGCATCAGATTCAAAGCACTTTTGCCCACTTCAGATTAATTATTGTATACTTTAGTTAGAAATATACTCCATTAAAAAATGGGAAAACTATATAGATAATTTTTACTCTTGTTTATTACATTAAGTCAAAGCAATATCAGGATTTCTTAAATGGGAATTTCTTTCATGTTCCTTTTTGATAGGAATAGGTAATATTATATTTACCTATTTATATTTACCAGATCTTATTCAGATATAATATTTTTCTCCCACAGTGATGTAAAAATAATGCAGTATTGCTGAAATGAATAGCAGATATTGGTGTGGGTTTGGGTCTTAGTAATGATTTTGAGTAGTTCATAAGAATTTATATTTTCTATTTTTTCTCATTTTGTAGATGTCTTTGCTCTTGCATTGGCTATTAAAGAGATGTGCATAGCAACACGTAAAGCTCGTACTACACTGTGGTGTGCTCTTCAGATGACATTGCCTAAAACAACCTATACATCTGTACCGGCTGAAATGGAAAAGGTTTTACAAGAGCTAGTAACATCTCAAGATAAATTGTATGATCAGATAAATAGTGGCAATCCTATGATTCAAAGGGGAGATACAAAAAAGCACTGAAAAGCAAAGGCAAAACATATATATATATATATATATATATATATATATATATATATATATATATATATATATATATATATATATATATATATATATATATATATATATATATATATATAATATATATATATATACATATATAGCAGTATACTAAAAATGGTAAATATATGTTTAAACATTCTGTCCAGATTAAAAATAAATACAAGAAACTAAAGTTGGCTTATGTGAATCCAGCAGCTGATAAGTATCAGTTAACATAAGCCATGATGTCTATGTTAAGAGCTGTAGGAATCAGTATATTAATGAGGCTGAACTACTGTATTAGGTTCAATAAATCAGTACATTTTAAACTTCTAAATCCATTCTACAGTGTAAGTGCACACAGTGAGAGTTTGGTTGTATAATAAAATTTCTTTTAGATTACAGTATTAATTTCAAATAATGAACTGAATTACTGTCACATTATTGTGTGTGCAGTCTAGTAAGACAAGCTTTGATTGTGAAAAGAAAAAGTTTCATTTAGACAATGAGTACTTGGAAACAGAAAGAAAACAAAGCTAAACATACCCAGTATGAAAATTAAAAAAATGAAAATATTTAAAGGAAGACATGTTTATGAATTTAAAATCTTATTCTAAGCTTAAGTACCAAAATTAACCTGATTTTCTCAAATTAGTGATACTATCATAAAGTTATTATCCAACCATGCATGTTAGGAAACATAAAAATAAGTTCTGAAATCATTTGTACCTATTATTTTAATAATACCAATAAAACATTGCCTGTTTCAAAGTATTTAAATATAAGCAAAAATTACATTTATGTAATCTGTATCCTTACAGTTGTGCTGCAACTAAAATAATGAGTATTATTTTTAATACCCTTGGTTTATTTTAAAAAGGGTATCAAGAAGTTCTGAAATGCACTTTCTTTACGGTTACACTTTAGCCAGTTTGGTTTGAAATTGTTTAATGTATATTTTGTTTCCTTCGTTTGCTTCTGCATGCTTTAGCACTGTTGAACAATTGCTTTTGTCTTAATATCTTTTAATATCTTTTCATTGAATGTGAGTAACTTATTAAATTAACATGTTATTATGTGGCTCAGGAGATCTTGGGTTTTAATAATATAGCATGAACATAAACTGTATAATGTCTGGATAAAATTTATTAATCTGCCCTTCGCTAGGCACACAGATATTTTAAATATTTGTGTTCTTCCAGCGTTTAGAAATCTTGGTGTGCTAAAAAGTATAATCAAACCACATAAATTGCCTTTTGGATGATGAGAGGAATTGATTGAGATTGCAAGAGAAAATATAGGGAACAATTTTGATCATTGATATGACATTCCATGCTGCCAAAATAAACTGCAGATGGCAGCAAATTCATACCACTATGCTATAGTAGCCACTGCAAAAGATGGGTTGAGTTTTGACATTGAAATGTTTCATGTTATGAAAACAAATATTGTACTGACTTCTGTCTCTCAATTAATAAACTGGATTTTGTTGCAATAAATTTTTCTTATGTCTATGCCTTGTCTTTCAGAGACAAGATAGTGGCAAATAGACTTTTATAAATTAAAAATGTTAGGTTCACATGTTTCACTTTTCCAGATTTTTACAAGCTTTTAGCTGTACTTTCTAAACGGGTCTGAAAACTAGGGATGCACTTCTATTCAATGTAGGTGGGAGAGGCGTTTTGGACCCAGCATAATGTATTTCCTGTATCTATGATTGGTTCCTTTAACAAACTATGAATGTCCTGGAACTGCAAGCCCAGGAAAAGGAGTGACAGGTAGCTTGAGCATATAAATATCAGATCCAATGCACTTTTCCCACTTTGCACATTCGTATGGAGACTTATAGTACTACTTGTTCAGTAGAAATGACAAAATTTGATCTGGCCAATATTTGGAAATAGCTTAACACAAAATGTAAACTTCCAGTTCTTATTGGATAGGTCAATACAACATTTAAGAGAGATTATTTCCTATTTAATGAATTGGGTAATATACCTTTCCTTGAAAATAGATGTTTTGTTTATACCCCACCTTCATCAACGATTTGGACGTCATCAACGATTTGGATGAGGGGATAGATGGGGAAATCATCAAATTTGCAGATGACACCAAGCTGGCAGGAATAGCCAACACTCCAGAAGACAGGCTTAGGATACAGGAGGACCTGGACAGACTTGAACACTGGGCGCTATCTAACAAAATGAAATTCAATGGTGAAAAAAGTAAGATTCTATATTTAGGCAAGAAAAACCAAATGTCCAGGTATAGTATAGGGGGTACATTGCTCAATAGTAACTGTGAAAGGGACCTCGGAGTCCTAGTGGACAATCACTTAAATATGAGCCAGCCGTGTGCTGCAGCTGCCAAAAAGGCCAACACAGTGCTGGGCTGCATTAACAGAGGGATAGAATCAAGATCACGTGAAGTATTAATACCACTTTACAATCCCTTGGTAAGGCCACACTTGGAATACTGCATCCAGTTTTGGTCACCGCGATGTAAAAAAGATGTTGAGACTCTGGAAAGAGTACAGAGAAGAGCAACAAAGATGATTAGGGGACTGGAGGCTAAAGCATATAAGGAACGGTTGCTGGAATTGGGTATGTCTAGTTTAATGAAGAGAAGGACGAGGGGGGACATGATAGCAGTATTCCAATATCTCAGGGGCTGCCATAAAGAAGAGGGAGTCAAGCTATTTTCCAAGGCGCCTGAAGGCAGGACAAGAAGCAATGGGTGGAAACTAATCAAAGAGAGAAGCAACCTAGAACTAATGAGAAACTTCCTGACAGAACAATTAATCAGTGGAACAACCTGCCTCCGGAAGCTGTGAATGCTCCAACACTGGAAGTTTTTAAGAAGAGACTGGACAGCCATTTGTCTGAAATGCTATAGGGTTTCCTGCCTGAGCAGGGGGTTGGACTATATGACCTCCAAGGTCCCTTCCAACTTTATTATTATTATTATTATTATTATTATTATTATTATTATTATTATTATTATTATTATTATTATTTAATAATAATAATAATAATAATAATAATAATAATAATAATAATAATAATAATAATAATAACTCAAGGTAATGAACATACCCAATACTCAGTTCTCCTTCCTATTTTTCCCATATCAAAAACTGTGTGAAGTGAGTTGTGCTGAGAGAGAATGATTGGCCAATGTTAACAGTATTTTTAGATGCTATGATCACTTCAAAATCACCTCTGTAATGGAACTACTGTTGTTCTTGCTTGATGTTGCTTGGAAATAAACACATAGTTGAATCTTTCCAATATCATAATTTTAAAGAACTAATCCTTGCTACACCCACTTCAGCATGGTTCCCATCTTTCTCCTCAGTCTCTTGATCACTGCAGCAACGAAAAGGGTTTTTTTCTACATTAAGATGCAGTGCTACCTTTTTTGTCTTTTAAGCTTGCCTTTTCAAATAATTGTAAACAGGACTTTTTTTTTTTGTTTGATGCTTCCATTGGCCTTTGCTTGCTATCCTGTAGAGCACATGTATTTATGCTATTTAGATCCTATTTCTGAAATGATGATGATAATAATAAAATTGGAAGGGACCTTGGAGGTCATATAGTCCAACCCCCTGCTCAGGCAGGAAACCCTATCCCATTTCAGACAAATGGTTGTCCAGTCTCTTCTTTAAAACTTCCAGTGTTGGATCATTCACCGCTTCTGGAGGCAGATTGTTCCACTGGTTAATTGTTCTAACTGTCAGGAAGTTTCTCCTTAATTCTAGGTTGCTTCTCTCGATTAGTTTCTAATTTTTGGGTTGTTGCAACAAACTTCTGCCTCTGAGAGCCACTCAGTGTCTAATATTCCTGAGTGAATCTTGTATCATTGGCAGTTGTAAAAATTGCCAATAGTTTATAAAAGAATGCTTAGTTTCAGATCCTTCTTTAAAAAAGACCCCTGAAGATTAAATTATAAGCATTCTCTAGCCTTTTTGAATTCATTACAATTAAAGCAATTTTCATCAAACAAACAAACATCTGCTCACTCTACAAATTTTTGTTATCTTCCAAGCATTAGCAAAAAGCTAGAATTATCTGAGAACTTTGAAAAAAGATACCAAATGTTTCCTTTGGTACCTTCAAAGTAGTCATCTCAGTTGCTATGTTGCAACTTTTTTTTCCTGGTTATGGACTTTTGTTTCCTACATTGGTCATGTCCTTATCTGTCTATCAATTGGTATCAAGCCTAAACACTTCAGCCGAGTCCAGCCAGAAAGCCAGTTTTCAATTCACAGAACTCTGCATTAGAGTGGAAGATCAGGGGATCAGTAATTAGTGATGAAGCCATGATTAATATATAAATCAATACAGCTGTACTCAGTTGTCATCATGGGACAGATTCTAGTTTTCAACAAACTTTAAATAGAAGAATTCTGGTTCCTCATAATAATATTATGCCTGGTATCCTCCTATTATACCCTCGGAAAACTGTCTCCCTGATCATCTTGTGGTCAGATTCTACAATGAAATTCTAGCTGCCAAAGAAAGACTCTTCCTCTAAATTTCCAGTAAAAATCTTTCAATTGTTTCCTGAGGATGCTTCACAAGTTCTGACATTGTCCATGTTATTGATTTTTCCTATATTGTATTATTGAATCTTCTGGAAGTCTTGCCATCAGACTCATGTGTACTTCTCATATTAACATCAGTGTTATGCATTTTTTCATTTCTGATAGGGAGGATTCTAATTCTGATTTTTGTTTGCATCTAATGTCTGAACTTCGTAATCACTAGATCTACATTGCCAGAACTCTAGATTTGATGTTCAACAAAGCCAACTTACAGTACTTAATTCCTTATGTCAGAGCATGCACAGTCTTATTGTGCTGAGGTAATCCAGGAGTAAATACAGTAAACAGTGGTTTTGTATTAAATGGTTGTTTATATTATACTATCTACAATATACACTAGGAATAAAATACATACACGTAGTAATACAGCAAACTCCAACACACAGCAATTATAGCTTTCTGGCCGGTAAAGCCATAAAATCACATTGAATACCCATTCAATTAGCACAGGTGCCCCCCCCCTCCCCAGGGCTGTGTGCTCGCTCTCTCCATATCAATGACCTTCTCCTAATGGTATCTTAAGATTATATTACTTTGTTTGTATGTACACTGAGAGCTTTTGCACTGGAGACAAATTCCTTCTTTGTCCAATCACATATGGCCAATAAAATATCTACTCTACTCTTTTACATTCCCATTCCATCCATCACATCAGGTGCTAGAATGTACCTTTTTAATCAAGACCCTCTGAAACTAATTGTTGCAAGGCCTCTTCCTCCATAGGTTCCTCAGGGCAATGAAACATACTACATAAAACTCCAAGTTGACATTTGGAAAAGTTATGTGAAAGTTAATATAGCTACATTTAGTACAGTAATGGCACAGTTAAGAAGTTGGAGAGAAGATACGTATAAAGAACAAGTAATAGTGCCCTATGAGCATTGACAAGGAAATTATTGTTAAAATAAATTATTTAGTACTACAAATGTAAAGAATATGATTTGACCGCAATGCCAACAGTATATGTCACAACAGCTGTATCCTTAAAAAATCTCAAGACATGAAGTTATTCAAACACAGTATTAATCAAGTAAGAGATCAAGTAGTGAGTTCTTTCAACAAAATGTTAGAAATATTTTATTTGTGATCAGATAGTTATTAGAATAGAATAACTTTATTGTCACTTTAAGTATGTCTTTGCTAATATCTCAAAATGATTAAATGTTGCAATTAATACTAAGACCTATTGTAATAAATAAAAGAATGGGGCAAATTAATATAGCCTTCCTTTACATGATGTTCTCCTGTTCTTGGCCTTCAACTTTCAATAAATCATCAGTTAATGTATCAGCAAGGAAAAGATGATAATTAGGAAGGTACAGCAATTACTCTAAAACATTTAAGAGAGTGACTGCATCAAACAGGGGTAGTATTCATTGTATCAAGTCTGGAATCAAGTAGCCAGAATCCTGGATGCTGAAATGTTGATGCTGTACTAACACTATAAAACAATAATAGGATAAGTAGCAGGATAAAAAAAAGATGCTTTGGGAGCACCTATTATAATAAAGAGGAAAGCAAAGCAATAACGTTAGGCCCCATGTCATTAAGATGACCATGCTTCTGCATTATAGCAAAACTTAAGCAGAGACTTCACTGCTACAAACACAATGTGTACACATACAAATACAAAACATTGTATTTCTATGAAAGGAAAATTCTTCTTGTTCCAAAATACTTTCCTTCTAAAATGGAAGTCATCTGAGATTTGCTAAAATTATTATTATAAACATTAAGGATCTTTGCAGAGAGATAGAAATCATATTGAATTTAGTAGTCTTTGTTTGGGATAAATATGGTAGATTATAAAGAATGCATGGAGCAAGCGAACAAGCATGTAACATACTAGTTAAATTCACAGAACTTTACCTAAGGTAGGAACAATACACCTTTGCTGAAGTCACACAAAAATTCATTAGGCCAATCCTCAACAAATGAAATATGTTGTCTCACATTTGATGTCAGATGTTTACTGCATTGATCTAAATCCAATCTTATATGCTCATCATGGTGTATTATCTCTTCTTGACAAATACATGTAGCAAAACCAAATTTTTCCTCAACAATTCCACCACCTATAAGTAATCTTTGGGTAGACTGAATATTATAGAAGTTCCTTAACTTTACAGTTTTCATGAAAATACTTATAAGAAGAGAAAATGACAAGGAGGAAAAACAAAAATTCACCAGTTCTTTGGTTATACATTTTGGCTATGACAATTCAGCCAAATGCTTGGACAGCAAAATTGTATACACAAAATTTTAAATCAAAGTTTTTATCATGAGAGAGAAACCATCCCCTCTCCCTGCAAATCTTGCCAAGTGCATGCTGCTGCTTTGAAAAAAAAAAATGTTCAAAAAGCTTCTGTCTGCTGATCACTCTGGCTGAACGTGCATGCTGTGCCATCTTTTACATAATGGAGGGGAAGAAAGTCCAGCAGCTGTTCTTGGCTACCGCTTCTTCTCGCCTTTTTGTGTCCTCTTCTTCTCTTTCTCCTTGCGTTCTTGCTTGGTCAACTTGTCTTTCTCTCGCTGGAATTTGTCCCGCTCTTTCTTTCGCTGGGATTCATCACGTAGATGTTCTCTTTCCAGCTTACGAGCATTCATAACATCTTCCAGGTTTGTATTTTTGAACAAAGCTAACAAGCACAGAGTTGAGGAGAACAAACTTTCTGAGCATATAAAGACTTTGACTAAACATACTTGCAACATGCAACTTCTACTTAAGCCATAGAAACAGAGTATAACTTGAAGGAAAACCAATTTCACATGGTTCTTTGGAAAACTAAATTTAGCATTCAAATCTCAATTCAGACTTGCATTTCTCAGTGAGAAAAATATAACTATCCCTCAATCTACTAAGCTTATTCTGAAGAGAAATAAAGAAAAATAAGAGCATTTAACAAAGTAGAAGGTGCAACAGAAATTATCAAAAAAATTGCTGCTGCTGCAGCATGATCTGCACCTAATCAATTAACCCATCAGAAAGATATTGAAGAAAACTGGAATATCTTACAAGAAAATATTTCCTATAATGATTGAAATAAAAGGAAATTCCATTCTTCTTTACCCAAGATTCTCCTCTAGGGACCGAACACTCTTTAAAATTTTATCCCAATATGCTTCCCCATTATTATTCCAAGAATGACTAAATTTAACTTCAAGAACTATCCTACAAAGGATACATTTATTAGAAGCAATAGGCATTGCTGCTGCTCCCAAATCTTCATGTACATTTACTTCAGTGTACTGAGTTAAGGATAATAAAATATTTGGAATATGGAAAAATGTGCTAAATGCTTATGAAGAATAATTAAGAGACCAGAAATAATATTTCATCCTCCTACTGAAATATTCAGAAATAGTTGTCTGTAGTTTTTCCTCCATCAAGGATGGCAATATAGATATCTTCAACCTCCACTTGTTCTTGGTATCTATTAACTAGAGATTTCTTAGGAATACAGGAAATTCTATCCCAAATACCATGGCTAAAATAAAGAACTTATCAACATGAGTGTGTTTAGTCCATGCTAAAGTCATTTAAATTATTCTGAAATAGCTTCCTACTTAATGTGTACCTTCAATAGTACTTATCATATGGGTATACAACCCTTATTATTTTTGACATAATCATAAAGATAACATCTGTTAAATAGATGATAGAATAATGAAATTCCATTCTTTTCTGATTAAACCACAGTTGGTTATTAGTTATCCTTGTCCAATCATTATGGAGTATCTTTGCTCTGACCCACATTTAAAATTCTTGCATACATTCTACTCTAAATTTATAGGTTATAACAAAAACCTAGCTAATCAAAGAATACAATTCACCCCAGCCCTGAGTCACTGAATCAGCCAGCTAAAGAATAGACACTTTCAGAACTTGCAGCACAGAAAGGATATTCCTCATCATCTGTCACTTCAGCATATTGTGCCAGGAGAGCAGCTTTCTGAAGTGTATCCTCCTTCAAGACCTCCTTAGGTTTCACGACAATCTGTGCCTGCTTTTCAATTATGTTCGTAATGGCTTGGATCTCATCTGGGGAGGAAACCAAGAATAAGTAATTATCAAGTCCATCCAAGAAGTCTTTGTTTCCCTTGCATGTGAACATGATGCTTTCCAGAAGTCAGTTATTTCCTCCAATTTGAATGCAATGTTTAAAAAGTCAGAATTATAACAATAACTTTATTTACAGCCTGAGGTGAAATACAGTAATTCCAGAAAGACAACACTATTCAGAAAAATAAAAACAATGAAAAATGAAATGAGACTTCCGGTGGGACGGCGCGCCGATGGCGGCTCTTTTGGAGCCGTCCGCTTGGGAAGGCATCAGAGCCAGCCTGAACAGCGGACATCAGCTGTTCAGCGGCTTGGAACCTTGTGCCCCGGGCGAAGGGGTCGAGGTGAGTACTCCTGGATAGGAGGAGAGCCCCAAAAGCTCTCCCTTAACTTAGGGAGAGCGAAAATTGGGTGCTCCTCCGGAGTCCGGGAACCTCCGTCTCCCAAATGCCTTTGCTCCCTCTTTTCTTTGGGAGCGAAGCGAGTCGTTGCCTCCACCTCCGCGAATTATAGAGACTTGTGAGTAATAATAAGCGGACGGAATTGCCCGGGGATACTGGATTTTGAGCAATCTAAGACTTTAACTCAATTTATTTACATCTTCCCTATTGAACTGGGGGAAAAAAAAGAGAAAAAAGATGGCTGCGGTTTGCCTTTCTTCAAAGTGAGAGTGATTTCTTTTTTCTTTTTTAACTTTTACTTTCCGGTGGAGCTGAATGAAGAGGGAAATTGTTACCCCTTGTAACATTGATATGGAAAGT